AAACTTATTTTTTTTTTAGACTTTTTCTATTGAGGGAAGCAACATGTATTAACATAATGTGTTGTGAACAAAAGTTGACCCCAGCTTCAAAGGAGTCTTCTCAAATCTCTGCCTCTTGCTCTCTCTCTCTTTCTCTCTGTCCATTTCTCTCTGTCTCTCTCTTTCTCCTTCTCCGTCTCTATCTTTCTCTTTGTCTCTGTCCATCTCTCTCTCTTTCTCTCTCCCTCTCCGTCTCTCTTTCTCTCTGTCTCTCTCTCTCTCTCTCTGTCTCTGTCTCTCTGTCTGTGTGTCTCTCTCTCTCCCTCTCTGTCTATCTCTTTCTCTCTCTGTCTCTCTTTCTCTCTCCCTGTCTCTCTGTGTCTGCCTTTCTCTTTCTCTACTTGTCTCTATCTCTGTCTGTCTCTCTCTGTCTCTCTCTCTGTCTGTCTGTCTCCCTCTCTCCCTCTCTGTCTATCTCTTTCTCTCTCCCTGTCTCTCTCTCTGTCTGCCTCTCTCTTTCTCTACTTGTCTCTATCTCTGTCTGTCTCTCTCTCCCTCCCTCTCTGTCTCTCTCTTTCTCTCTCTGTCTCAATTTCTCTCTCCCTGTCTCTATCTCTGTCTGCCTTTCTCTTTCTCTACCTGTCTCTATCTCTGTCTGCCTCTCTCTCTCTCTCTCTGTCCGTCCATCTCTTTCTCTCTGTCTGTCTTTCTCTTTCCCTGTCTCTATCTCTCTCTGTCTGCCTCTCTCTTTCTCTACCTGCCTCTGTCTGTCTGCATCTCTCTCCCTCTCTCTCTCTCTCTCTCTCTCTCTCTCTCTTCGTCTCTCTCTCTCTCTCTGTCCCTCTCTCTCTCTCTCTCATCCATATTTTGTCCAATAACTTCACCTGAAAATCCTGTCTTGAATCTGCATAAACATAATTGATCCATCACCTTCTCGTTCGGAACAAAAACAGATCTGAAACACATTTGTATGTCGCACATCTCGCCCGGAGAGATGCGGTCGAGATGAGAGATCGTAATCACAAGGACTTTATTCATTTGGTCACAGTGTGCGCTTTGCATCTGTATTGTTTATTAGTCTTGCTCCATCAGCAGGATTTTATCACAAAGACCAGTGTGTGTGGCCCAGGAACGGGATTCAGATATACTCATCTCTGTCCAGGCATGTGTGTGTGTGTGTGTGTGTGTGTGTATGTGTGTGTGTGTCTGTGTCTGTGTGTGTCTGTGTTTAGGAATGTGTGTTACATATGGGAAGCTGTCGTCAGTAACTATTTAGAATAATCTTATGGTGACATTTTGTAACTTGCTTTGTGGATTTCTGAATTAAAGAAAGAAACCGTGAGGCTCTCTGATCTCTCTCTGGTCTCTCTACGGTCTCTCTCTGTTCTGTCTCTGATCTCTCTCTGGTCTCTCTACGGTCTCTCTCTGGTCTCTCTCTGGTCTGTCTCTGGTCTCTCTCTATGGTCTCTCTCTCTGGCCTCTCTCTGGTCTCTCTCTGGTTTCTCTCTGGTCTCTCTCTGGTCTCTCTCTGGTCCCTCTCTGGTCTCTCTCTGGTCCGTCTCTGGTCCCTCTCTGGTCTCTATCTGGTCTGTCTCTGGTCTCTCTCTGGCCTCTCTCTGGTCTGTCTCTGGTCCCTCTCTGGTCCCTCTCTGGTCCCTCTCTGGTCTGTCTCTGGTCTCTCTCTGGTCCCTCTCTGGTCTCTTTCTGGTCCCTCTCTGGTCCCTCTCTGGTCCCTCTCTGGTCCCTCTCTGGCCTCTCTCTGGTCTCTCTCTGGTCGTCTCTATGGCCATTGTCACATCACTATCAGAGACCAGGGATGACAAACAAATTTTGACCGAGGGCAAACTCCAGGGAAAGTTAGACTACTGCACATGTTTTTAGTGTTAGTGGAAACCGGAGCACTCAGAGGAAACCTACACAGAAACAAGGAGAATATGCCAATACCACTCAGATAGGTCCAAGAGTGCTCATCACTCAATCACCATCCATGCTGCTGCTAGTAACCTGCTTTTACATTGTACAAGGATGGAATAAACAAGATAGCTTCATACGATGCTAATGCTAATGCTACAGGTTCCACGTATAGCATTTAGCGCACACTGCAGACTTTCAGTTTGGGGTTGGTCTTTTCAAACTCAGTCCCATTAGTTCTGCCATAGCACACATACAATCTCGACACCGAAGCCTCCAGCTCACGTCGCCACACCTGCATCTTTGAACACTGAACACGGAGGATGATTCCAGCGACTGTACAATGAAGCAAAGTGCGTCTGGTTTAAATTTAGGCCTCGGCTGCTGTCAACAAAATCTCACCTGTGAATCTCACACTTGTCATTATCGAGCACTATACCGCTGTCGTTTCATTAGCGCCTCTTTCTCCACTCAGACTAAATCAACTGTGCGTGTAGCGACGCCGCCGACAGCTCCGAGCAGGCCGTAATGTGTTATGTTTGGAGTCGTCTGTATTCTGTCTTCCTGGCTCGGTTTTTATAACGTATTCAGGCGTTTTGCGTTCTGTTTTTTAGTTGTGTTTTAGTGCAAATCTCTTCATCTGTCAAGACATGTGATACAGAGGCTTCTTCTATTATGTGTTTGTTTGAATAAGCACTACACAATCTGGAAATTTGATACATTTCAGGTTCCTTTAGTGTCTTTGAACCTTGAGATTCTTGCAATTTCTCACTAAAGGTCATTTGAGACTTTTCCTGTACTTCTAGCAGTTTATTTCTGTCATTATCTTTAAAAAGAAATCATATGTTTGTGAGTAGTTCTATGTTTAAAGAGCGGGTCCTGGTTACTATAGCAACACACTGTTTACCGTTACCATTTGGTCCTTAGCATAACTTTTTGTATGGTTATGGATACAGTTGGAAAATTACTACTACTTAAAGCGTTTTTGAGAAGGAGGAGCTAGCAAACTCTCAGAGACCAGAGAGACAGACCAGAGAGAGAGACCACGGAGAGAAAGACCAGTGACAGACAAGAGAGAGAGACTAGAGAGAGAGGGACAAGAGAGAGACCAGAGAGAGAGAGAGACCACAGAGAGAGAGACCAGAGAGAGAGAGAGACCACAGAGAGAGACCAGAGAGAGAGAGAGACCACAGAGAGAAAGACCAGAGAGAGAGAGAAGGACCAGAGAGATCAGAGAGAGAGACACAAGAGAGAGACCAGAGAGAGAAAGAGACCACAGAGAGAGAAAGACCAGAGAGAGAGGGACAAGAGAGAGACCAGAGAGAGAGAGAGAGAGAGAGAGACTACAGAGAGAGAATGGAGAGAGAAGGACCAGAGAGAGAGACAAAAGAGAGAGACCAGAGAGAGAGAGACCACAGAGAGAGAAAGACCAGAGAGAGAGAGAATATAGAGACCAGAGAGAGAGAGAGAGACCACAGAGAGAGAAAGACCAGAGAGAGAAGGACCAGAGAGACACCAGAAAGAGACCAGAGAGAGACCAGAGAGAGAGACCAGAGAGAGAGACCAGAGAGAGACCAGAGAGAGACCAGAGAGAGAGACCAGAGAGAGACCAGAGAGAGACCAGAGAGAGACCAGAGAGAGACCAGAGAGAGACCAGAGAGAGACCAGAGAGAGACCAGAGAGAGACCATAGTGAGACCAGAGAGAGACCAGAGAGAAACCATAGTGAGACCAGAGAGAGAGCAGTAATGTCCATTCTCTCCACACACAAATCACATTATAATCATGCCTATTGTACATGTTATTAATAGTAGGGGGAAACCGGAGTACCTGGAGAAAACCTAGACGCATACACTGAGAAAACATGCACTCACCACACAGAAAGGCCTCAAACCCAAGACAATTATTTTTTTTGTATTTGAAGTAGCCCTAAATCTCAACAGTAGCTATCTCTGAGGACTTCACAAAGCTGTCGACTCACCAACAACAGATCAGAGAATCAGTTAAAACACAAAAAAACACACAGGGACAGAGACCAATGTCCATAAATGTCCATAAATGTAAATAAAGTAAACAGACTATAGCTGAGGATTTGATGTACTTTCCGATGTATTATTCAGATCCACGTCTCTCCGACTTTAGCAAAGTGAACCTTGTACAAAGAAGCTATACTTGCTGTTATGCTAATTTAAGTACGAGCCACTCCTGCTGTTGTGTGTCGGAGAAAAAAACGACAATCTCAATAATTTAGACCTGCGCGCTTTTGAATGTGAATATATGGTCGAAAAACACGGAGAAAAGACAGTTAGAAATGGCTCCTATAAAAAACACACATTATGTATTTAAATTGTGGACAATGCATCACATATTACAATTAAATCTCAAATAATCGTCCTGTCATTCAAAGGAAAATATTTTTATGTTGCCTGCTGCTTTCTTAATTAAACATGTACCTTTTTTCTCTTTTTTTCCACCTCTTTGTTCATTATTATTATTATTATTATCATCATTATATGTTATTAATATTCATTTTTTTTATTATTTTATTTTTATTATTATTGAATGGAATTATTTTGTTTTTTTTCTCACCTCTTTAGTTTTTTATCTGTTTTATATATATATTATTTATACATTATTTCAATCTTCTTTTCTCCTTTTTAAATGATTTTTTTCAAGTATTTTTTCCTTTGCATAATAATTGTGGCCTTGTTATGTTTTGGAATTGTGACATTTTGACCAATCCAATTTTGACCACACCAAAAACTCGAAAAAAAAAATAAAAAGAAAAGAAAACATACAAATGAAAAAAAAATTGTAGAAAACTTAACAAATAAAAAAAACACAAATAAAAAACAAAATCATAGAAAAGGAGACAAAAAATCAGATTGACTGCAGCACCTCTTCAAACTGTATTTATTCATTTATTTTACAATGACACACAATAACGCACAATCGCCCCCAAGCCAAATGCCCCTCCTCTTGTGCGGTCAAATTGCCTTCTCTAATTCTAGCCCACTGTGGTATATATTCAGACATAAAGTAAACGATGTCTCCAAATGGCGTTATTTTTGTTTTGTTGTGATGCGTGGAGATGGCACAGATGCAGTTAGCTTACCGCGGTCTTGCTAGCGGCCCGCGGAGAGAGAAAATGAACAATATGGAGGCGACGACCACGTTAGGACTTCTGAATGCGAGGTTCCGACGGCGAGATAATGACTGCTGCTTCTGCCTGATGTGATCTCGCTCCACGACTGGGGAAGTTTTCTCGTGTAGCGCAAATGGGAAATTGCCCCTTGTCAGAGATGTGTTTAAGTGGGGAAATTCCAGTGTTGTCCCAATGGCAAATCTTGTTTTGAGGCAGAATATAGACATTTTAGACTTATTTTTATCACTTTTTTGCAGTGTGGGTTAAGAACACATGTATTTTTTGTGGGCATCAAATACGAATTAGACAATAACAGACTGCTTAAATGCAATATGACCAAGTTAAAGCTGGGGTATCTAACTTTTGCCCCATGAGTTGTTCCTTGTCGATGGTTCTTCACCTTCACACTCTTGTAATAAATACCTTGAAATGCAGATTTTTTGTTGTTGAAATTCTGTGAGTTTCTATGGTTATGGCATTCGCTCTTCTCTGGTGGAAAACCAGGACGAACCAGGACCGGACCAGAACTAGAACCATCCCCAGAACTAGTACCAGAACCAGAACCAGTCCAGGACCAGATCTAGTTGGATTAGTTAGTTAATTTTGATTCATGTAATTACGGCAGAACACAGTTTCACATGTGTTTAATACAGGTTTGAACAGGGGTTGGATGAAGCGGATGGTTGTTTGTTCTCATCCATCTCTCACAACGATACACACTGAATACAATGCAGTTATTTAATATATAAAATCAATACAGATTTGATTGCATTTACTGTGCAGTATTACAGTAATACACAAAACCCTATCATGGGGTATTAGACACACACATAAACAAACACACACACACACTGGCCCAAACACACTCTGACCCTACACCTCTCTCCCGTCCCCTGCTCTGTGCTCAGGGCATCACTCTCTCTCCTCCATGTACTTTGTTTTTAAACATATCTTTAAATTGTAACAGAAAAAAGTTATGAAAAATAAGTCAAAAATTGCTGGAATTTGGCAAAAAATTATATTAATTTTAGCCTTAACAAGATTTGCCAAACAGACACAGCAAAATAATTCTTAATAGACACAAGTAAACTCTGTCTTTTAATGAGAAAACACAGCAGCAGTTCTTGAAATCAGACTAAATGACTTTGTCCCATTGGAGAATCTTGTCAAAATGTGCTCAAATTTAGACCACTCTTTTCAAGCATCTATCACCTCATATCTGATCATTTTTTTTGTAGTGTTGCACAAAAACCAACAAAATAAAAGGAGTCATAAACTTCTGAAAACAAGGAAACTCAACCCAGTTCAACTCCACATGGCCCTCTCTCTCCCGGAGCATTTATAGCCTCATGTGTAGCTGTAATTACAGATGTGGGCAGTGTTTATACACCAGTCCTACTGCTTTATCCAGGTCTCTGCTGCTCTGCGCACATAGCTGTGGTCCAGGGACTGCAGCCCAGGACCGGGACTGCAGGACTGAGCCAGGATCCAGACTGTAGCCGTGAGACTGGACCCAGACTGTAGCCATGAGACTGGACCCAGACTGTAGCCGTGAGACTGGATCCAGACTGTAGCCCTGTGCCTGGACTCAGACTGTAGCACCGAGCCTGGACCCATACCGTACCTCTGAGCCAGGACCCAGACCGTAGCCGTGAGACTGGATCCAGACTGTAGCCGTGAGCCTGGACCCAGACTGTAGCCCTGTGCCTGGACCCAGACTGTAGCCCTGAGCCTGGACCCAGACTGTTGCCGTGAGCCTGGACCCAGACTGTAGCCCTGAGCCTGGACCCAGACTGTAGCTCTGAGCCTGGACCCAGACTGTAGCCCTGAGCCTGGACCCAGACTGTAGCTCTGAGCCTGGACCCAGACTGTAGCTCTGAGCGTGGACCCAGACTGTAGCCGTGAGCCTGGACCCAGACTGTAGCCCTGAGCCTGGACCCAGACTGTAGCCGTGAGACTGGACCCAGACTGTAGCTCTGAGCCTGGACCCAGACTGTAGCTCTGAGCCTGGACCCAGACTGTAGCTCTGAGCCTGGACCCAGACTGTAGCCCTGAGCCTGGACCCAGACTGTAGCTCTGAGCCTGGACCCAGACTGTAGCTCTGAGCATGGACCCAGACTGTAGCTCTGAGCGTGGACCCAGACTGTAGCCGTGAACCTGGACCCAGACTGTAGCCCTGAGCCTGGACCCAGACTGTAGCCGTGAGACTGGACCCAGACTGTAGCTCTGAGCCTGGACCCAGACTGTAGCTCTGAGCGTGGACCCAGACTGTAGCCGTGAGCCTGGACCCAGACTGTAGCCCTGAGCCTGGACCCAGACTGTAGCCCTGTGCCTGGACCCAGACTGTAGCCGTGAGACTGGATCCAGACTGTAGCCCTGAGCCTGGACCCAGACTCTAGCCCTGAGCCTGGACCCAGACTGTAGCCCTGAGCCTGGACCCAGACTGTAGCTCTGAGCCTGGACCCAGACTGTAGCCCTGAGCCTGGACCCAGACTGTAGCCCTGAGCCTGGACCCAGACTGTAGCTCTGAGCCTGGACCCAGACTGTAGCACCGAGCCTGGACCCAGACTGTAGCACCGAGCCTGGACCCAGACTGTAGCCCTGAGCCTGGACCCAGATTGTATCCATGAGCCTGGACCCAGACTGTAGCTCTGAGCCTGGACCCAGACTGTAGCCCTGAGCCTGGACCCAGACTGTAGCCCTGAGCCTGGACCCAGACTGTAGCTCTGAGCCTGGACCCAGACTGTAGCACCGAGCCTGGACCCAGACTGTAGCACCGAGCCTGGACCCAGACTGTAGCCCTGAGCCTGGACCCAGATTGTATCCATGAGCCTGGACCCAGACTGTAGCCCTGAGCCTGGACCCAGATTGTATCCATGAGCCTGGACCCAGACTGTAGCCCCGAGCCAGGACCCCTCAGAGCCCGGGAACACGGCCTTGACTGCAACACGCTTATATCTCTCTACTTGTTAAAAGTAAACAATGAAAAAAAAGGCAGAAATTGGTCATATTTGGCAAAAATGTGAAAAGCACATTCTGACTGAGCCTCAAAACAAGATATTCCAATGGGACAAAAGGAAAATGATCTTGTTTTAAAAATATACAAGAAATGTCTCCCTTGGAATGAGAAAATAAAGCAACAGTTCTTGAAACAAGACTAAATGGCTTGGTCTCATGGAGAATTAAGATAAAATCCTCTCAATCCAAGCAATTCATATCTCATTATTGATCATTTTTTGCAGTGTACATAGACTTTAACAAGTTGAGAAGAGGTTTTATGGTTTTCAAGAACTTTTGGGGAGATATTTCTTGGATCTTTTTCAAACAATATCATTTTGTTTTATCCCACTGACAAATCATGTTTTAAGGCCCAGTCAGAATGTGCTTAAATTAATCACATTTTGCCAAATTTGAGCCATTTTTCACTTATTTTCCTTATCACTTTTTACAGTGTAGCTCCTGAGCCACAGGTTGGAGACCCCTGTTTTTCGATAATACAACATTTCCAAAGCCATTCTTAAATAATAAAAGTAGTGCAACTGTAGGTTAAGAGCATGGTCTCCCTTTGAGGAAAAACACACTTCTGTAACAATCGCTGCCGTTCTCGCTCTGGTCCCGCTCTGGTCTCGCTCTGGTCCCGCTCTGGTCCCGCTCTGGTCTCGCTCTGGTCTCGTACTTAAAGGGGAACAATGAGGTTCAAGAGCTCCATGGATTGTTGTTTGGGATAAAGACACGGACGGCTCTCTACACACAGGGACGCACTTGTAAACCTGCACCACACACACACAGAGACACACACACACACACACACACACACACACACACATACACACACACACACACACACACTAACCCTTCGGTGAACCTACACTTTTAATAAGAAAGCAATTATCCTCTGCTTTAAAAGGGAAACCCAATGTCCCGAGGCGGAGAGATACATCCACCCTTTATTCACTAGACTGCGTCGAGAATCTAGGTCAAAACTACACAAAAAGTATATATTTTCCCTATTTTTACTCCGAAATGTACCTGCATAGTCATCAAGGCATCATAAAAAGGCTCCTGGTTTGCTTTTGTATGATATATTCTATTATCAATATCTTATTAAGTCGTCTAACACAGAAGTCCCCTAACCTTTTTGAGCAAAATTGAAACTCTGCAGCCTTTATTGACAAAGAATAGTTATTATCATCAATGTGTTTTATCAAGAAATCAAACAAGCACAAAAAAATCTAATTCTAATTACTCACATTATTTTATTTTTACTTAATTATGACCAAGCAGCTCATAGTGGACCATTTTCAAGGCACCACACCAACGTGCCACAGTCCCTCTCTCTCTCTGTCTCTCTCTCTCTCTGTATCTTCTCTCTCTGTCTCTCTCTCTCTCTCTGTATCTTCTCCCTCTGTCTCTCTCTCTCTCTCTGTATCTTCTCCCTCTGTCTCTCTCTCTCTCTCTGTATCTTCTCTCTCTGTCTTTCTCTCTCTCTGTATCTTCTCTCTCTGTCTTTCTCTCTCTCTGTATCTTCTCCCTCTGTCTCTCTCTCTCTCTCTGTATCTTCTCCCTCTGTCTCTCTCTCTCTCTCTGTATCTTCTCCCTCTGTCTCTCTCTCTCTCTCTGTATCTTCTCCCTCTGTCTCTCTCTCTCTCTGTATCTTCTCTCTCTGTTTTTCTCTCTCTCTGTATCTCTCTCTGTCTTTCTCTCTCTCTGTATCTCTTTCTTCTCTCTGTTTCTCTCTATTTCTTCTCTCTGTCTCTCTCTCTCTGTGTATCCTCTCTCTTTCTCTCTCTCTGTTTCTCTCTATTTCGTCTCCATGTCTCTCCTTCTCTCTGTTTCTCTCTATTTCTTCTCCCTGTCTCTCTCTCTCTCTGTATCGTCTCCCTCTGTCTTTCTCTCTCTCTGTATCTTCTCCCTCTGTCTTTCTCTCTCTCTGTATCTTCTCCCTCTGTCTTTCTCTCTCTCTGTATCTTCTCCCTCTGTCTTTCTCTCTCTCTGTATCTTCTCCCTCTGTCTTTCTCTCTCTGTATCTCTCTCTGTATCTCTCTATTTCTTCTCTCTGTTTCTTCTCTCTTTCTGTTTCTATTTCTTCTCTCTGTCTCTCTCTCTCTGTGTATCCTCTCTCTTTCTCTCTCTCTGTTTCTCTCTATTTCGTCTCCATGTCTCTCTCTCTCTGTATCTTCTCTCTCTGTCTCTCTCTCTCTCTGTATCTTCTCCCTCTGTCTTTCTCTCTCTCTGTATCTCTCTATTTCTTCGCTCTGTCTCTCTCTCTCTGTGTATCCTCTCTCTTTCTCTCTATTTCGTCTCCATGTCTCTCCTTCTCTCTGTTTCTCTCTATTTCTTCTCTCTGTCTGTCTCTCTCTCTCTCTGTTTCTCTCTATTTCTTCTCTCGGTCTCTCCCTCTTTCTCTGTTTCTTCTCTCTTTGTTTCTCTCTCTTTCTTCTCTCCCTCGCTCTCTCTGTTTCTTCTCTCTTTCTGTTTCTCGCTATTTCTTCTCTGTCTCTCCCTCTCTCTCTCTCCTTTTCTTCTCTCTCTTGCTCTCTCTCTCTCTTTCTTATGATTTCAACCACGCTCAGACCCTTCCATTGCGTCGAAAATGAGTATAGAGCCTGATTCCTGCCGTGTACGAACTCTCTCAAACGTTTCCGTATCCGTCCGTCTCGGTCCCCGTCCCGGTCCCCGTCTCCGTCTCCGGTCCCCGTCTCCGGTCCCCGTCTCCGTCCCTGTCCCCGTCCCCGTCTCCGTCTCCGTCCCCGTCCCCGTCTCCGTCCCCGTCCCCGTCTCCGTCTCCGTCCCCGTCCCCGTCTCCGGTCTCCGTCTCCGTCTCCGTCCCTGTCCCCGTCCCCGTCTCCGGTCCCCGTCTCCGTCTCCGTCCCTGTCCCCGTCCCCGTCCCCGTCCCCGTCTCCGTCTCCGTCCCCGTCCCCGTCCCCGTCTCCGGTCCCCGTCCCGGTCCCCGTCCCCGTCTCCGGTCCACGTCCCCGTCTCCGGTCCCCGTCTCCGGTCCCCGTCTCCGGTCCCCGTCCCTGTCTCCGGTCCCCGTCCCCGTCTCCGGTCCCCGTCCCCGTCTCCGGTCCCCGTCCCCGTCTCCGGTCCCCGTCCCCGTCCTCGTCTCCTTCTCCGTCTCCGGTCCCCGTCCCCGTCCTTGTCCCCGTCTCCGTCCCAGTCCCCGTCCCAGTCTCCGTCCCCGTCTCCATCCCCGTCTCCGGCTTCAATCGCCTCGTTGCCTTTTTCATTATTTTTACAATTTCCTCTTGTTTTGCCAAAGCAGTGAAAATCTTAAGTAGTTCATTTCCACCTGCACTGTGTTGTATTCGGACTCATTACAGAGGAGCGGAGGATTGAGTAACCTAATAAAAGAGCTCAGACAAATAGAAAATAGAAAAATGTGAGAATGTCCTGGTGTTTAAGTCCATCTGAAGAGGCCGGGGGTAATTCTGGATTACTAACATACACCGGGAGAAATATTACATCCAACTTGGACAAGACAAGACCAGAAATCTACATAGTGGTGATATTAAAGGCATTTATTCTTATGCCACACACTGGATTTCTGCTAACATCTCTGGTATCTTATTCTAGTTCTGGGTGTTTTCCTGGTTAGCAGCAATAAGCATTTGTAGTGTTTTATGAATGAATGTATTGAGTATGCCCTAGTCAACAAAAAAGATTGACAAACAAAATCGTCATATCTCAAAAGGTAAGAAGAATGGGCAGGGAAGAATTAAACGCATATTGACCCTAATTGAAGAGATTGATTTCCGAGTCTTAATATTAGCCTTAGTTTTGTCGGCACAACGCAAAGTCGCTAACTCTCTAATCTATATATAGATTAACATAGACCTATATATCTCTTACTTCTGACCTGTAAGTGCGTATACTTTACTGAAATCTGAGAAGACCGCAGTACAGTTGGACAAAAATTTACTTCATCCGGACTTGATAGATGTAGTCCGTAGTGTAGTCCGGACTTTTTTTTGTCAGAGAACCAGGAAGTTCACGTTTAGCCTGCTAGTTGATGCGCTAGTAGATGACAACGAAATGCTAAAAATATATTGCTAAATGCTTTCAGAAAGTTGTATTTGCACCACTGCATATCTGCTTCTGTGTGTACAGATGTGTGTCTATCTGTGCGTGTGTTTTTTTGTGTACGTGCAGTTGAACAAAAGTCAGTTAAATCTCCAAACATATTCACGGTGCGTTTTTCATACAGGAAGTGTGTGACTAAGCTCAAATACAAGAGGAGCCGTTTTACCCATAAGCCTCCGGGCAAGAAAATTAGCCTTCAAAACGACACAATGCTAAATCATTGCTAAACATGGCGCGACACATAATTTACTATAATGGAAACTGCATCAATGGGCCGTACATGCTAACGGATGGAATTGATTTGGACATGAATTACTATAGCAACAAACGGCAGCGCTGAGTCGACAAAACTGCTCCTGGGCATAAAATAAAACATGTACGGTCTCATAACGCACAGGCAATGTAGAGATAGATACATAATAGATAGATACATAGGTACATAGATAGATACATAGGTACATAGATTGATACATAGATAGATACATAGGTACATAGATACATAGGTACATAGATAGATACATAGGTACATAGAAAGATACGTAGATAGATACGTAGGTACAAAGATAGATACATAGGTACATAGAAGGATACGTAGATAGATACATAGGTACATAGAAAGATACGTAGATAGATACATAGGTACATAGATAGATACATAGATAGATACATAGGTACATAGATAGGTACATAGATAGATACATAGATAGATACATAGGTACATAGATATATACATAGATAGATACA